TACATACATACATACATACATACATTCCTGATATGTTTGGAAGGCATATATTAATAAAATCATTTTGGTTTGGTTTTTGGCATGGCTTGGGACCAAAATATATTTGGTTGTTCTGATGAACAATAAAAATTGAGAGAATAGAGAAAATAAGACATTCTTGCTGATCTCTTTAAAGCATTTAATTTTACTGGCTTGTAATAGGTTCTTGAACTACAGTTAGGATAGGAGTCATAAGCGCTGGCATAGCAAAAACATATGGCAACTATTCCATCTCCGTACCCATATTTTTAATATTTAATTAAAGATCACAAGTGATCTGAGGATAACATCTATATGAAACTTGCTAATGTGTTGAGAATTTTAGCTGCATTCCTGATTTAAAAAATTTCATCTTTTAAATTTAGTTGACTGACTCAACCTGCACATCTTTACTGTGATTTAACTTTAGTCTTTATGGGTGCTGACTATTCTGCTAATCTATGTTATAGTTAACAGTAGCCTTTCATAATTTTTGTCTAAACTATCAGACATTCATTAAAATAGGTGAGATTTAAACCCATTTCCAAAACCATACCTAACAATATTAAACATTCCCACTTTTGTGTAGGATAAATTGAAAAAAAGTGCCTGGACATATAAATGTATGACTATAGTAAAATTTTAACCTGGCAGTCTTGATAAAATAGGCTTATTTAATTAAATGAAAAGTCCATTCCTAAATGTGCTTGTTTAGAAAGAATTCCCAGGGATTTAGTTATTTCCAAATACACTTCTCAATTGGCAGAAATAGTCTTCCACGTGCAAATCTAAGTAGATTAGAGTCTATCAGTACAATTGATGTTTTGAATACAGGTGTGTGGCAGTGGACATTTGGTTTTAATTAATTCTGATCCTCTGCTTTTTCATCTGCACTGAACAGGTAGCTGACAGTTTTCCGCTAATTTCAGATGCCTATGTTTGTGTGCATAACACTAAAACCTGTGTGATTTTTCATTGGTTCCAAGCATGTGCTGCACGTTCTGTAAAACAGAATAAATATTAGCTTTTATTCTACATCAAAGTCAAATGAACTTGTATTCTTCTTCATTCTTTAATAATGCTTTGAGGCCTAGAAAGGGTTATTTGGGAAAGATTAAAATGTAAAAACTAATACAAAATTGAAAAGTTTTCTTACTGACCAACTTACCAAAGTTTTAAATTGAAAGTTGAAGTTAATTGCTATAGAAACAGAACATGCTTCACAAAGAGGTTGGAATAAACAATTTATTTGCTTATTAAGAATGACAATGCTTAAGTGAGTTATGGCTTAACATCACTGAGGCTCTTGTAATATATTTAGCCATGCACATCTCACATTTAAAAATATTATAATCTACCTCCTAGACAAAGAATTTGAAGCATATGGAATTTTTTATGATTCAGTCATGAGATTGAAGATAGTCCTGTTGCATTGATTCTGAATTTGAGGGTCAAAATAATCCCAATTCTAAGCTTACTAACTTTGTTAAGGCTTTTCTATATTAGGTTTCTTTATACATTTAATTATAAGAGACAATCTTAATAAAGATTTAAAATAGATTGGCTAGAAAACTAATTCTAAGCATCTTTCTTCATATACTGATGGACGCACACTAGAGTATATTGCATTCCCTATTGAAATGCATATTGTAAAATGGCAAAGATTCAGCACGGTTTCTTAAGCATCAGAAACTCTGAATGTAATCTGAACACAATTCAGAAATGGACTCCAGACATATTTTTAATGTTCTTCCCACTGCAAAGGACGAATTACCCAAAAGTTATTAACAAATTTGAATTGAGTCTGAGTCAGTGAGGAACAGGTTTTCAGACCATTCTCTCACTCTTCCATATCGATACTAGCTGTTCTTTCTTCTCTTTAGATTTGATTTTGTTTTTATGACACCAATGACAAAAGGCACTAGTTTCTTCCTCCTTCCCCTTTCTAATGTCTAGCACAATGCTGTATTTACGTGCTGAAAAGCAAAGGCTGGTGGGAATGCTGCTTCCAATGCCACCAGTGCTGGGCAAATGGTTTTGTTTAGTGGTCAGAGCCAAATAGAGCTATATTAGCATGGCTATTGGGGAAAAGAGAAGAAGCAGGAAGTAGGGGGGAGGTAGATTAATGGGGAAAGGAAGGATTTCATTCCAGTACTTTAATTTCAAATGACAAAAATGGACCTGTTTTCTGAACCCAGTTTTAAACAAGATCAAGGTGGGAATGTCCCATCAAAAGTTATTAATGGCATAGATAAAATGGGATAAGTAGCACTTTTGGAAATGAGCACAGTTTTCTTGGTGCAGCTGCCTGACTTTGAGTTGGTTAGGCTCAATGTAAAACCATCCTAAGTATTGAGTAGCATAATTTTGGCTGTGTGATGTTTTATATTATGTACTATGAGATGTACCATGCTTTGATACATTGGTATAACCCTTTGCATATTCCAGAAGGCTTACTCAGTAAGAACCTTCTGTTTTAATTGTTATTAATTCATTCCTAACATACTAATTATAGGCTGTACAGAAAATGTTACAAATGTACTTACTTTGTTTGATTGTTTCTAGTAGATTACTGTGCCAATTATGTACCTGTACACTATATGTTAAGCAGATGAATCTGTTAGAGATTGCAGCACATTGACATTGGTAATAAAGCTCCCTCTCTGGAACTTTTATTATTATGATTGGTCACACAGTTACCCAGATGTTTAGATTGAATTTGGCATTTTTATCTATCCAAGTAGTTCCTATGGACCTGGGATAGACAGATGTTATTGTTTGATAGTATTAAAGGTATTATTGCAGAATGTAAGCTGTTACAAGTAAAGTTGCCTTTTGCAACTTTATATCACTATAAATCACTATAGTGATTTTGTTAATGACAGTGCTGTTCAAGTAGTGCTCTAGATGTTTTGGAATTGAGTCACTATTGGTAGCACCTTTGCTTTTCTTTTGAAAGCAGAGATTATCATCATCATCATCATCACTAAGCATATACATCAGAAATGTTGCCCACTTTCCACATGTGCCCAAATAATTCAGTCATAATGCAGAATGATGAATAGAAAAGAAATCTCCTAAAGATTAATACAGCAAACGTGAAGGATTAATACAGTGAATAATAGAAGCTAACTTCAGTAATCTCAAGTAGCTCAGCAGCACAAAAACTGGTATTATGTGGTAATACATTATTTTGGACATATACTATGCTATGTATGTTATTTTTTATCATACTAGAATGAATTACTTTAACACGATTCCCCTTTTTTGGCTTTTATTACTTTCCAAGCTTTGTGTAACTGATAGATACTCAATTATATGTAAAGTGACTATTAAAGAATCGGTACTCATCTAGGGGTCTAGGTCTCCTTTCCTCTTTTCTCTTGAATTTGTGTTAAAACCATTAGTGTTACAAAGAAATGTGCATTCATCAGGTATAGTGATGGAGGCCAGGGTGCATATTACAGCTTTTACTGCCTATGAGACGTTGAAGCCCTATTCTTAAGAACTGCCAGGCAGATTGGGAATCACGGTCACGGTTAATAGCAGCGAATTGCCAGTTCTTGATGGGTGGGTAGTCACTCTTCTCAGTGGCTACCCCCTGGGGGAGAAGGTAGAAAAACAGAGGGAGGGAATTAGAGTGACTTTGCACAGTTGAGCAGGTTCATGCTGCTGGATCAGTGGCAGGCATTGGCAGGACTCCACTCTGGGGAGGCTCTCAACAACATCACAGTCTCATTTTTACCAATTGGTGTTGCTATAGCCAGTGGGAGAGCAAAGAAAGGAGGGGCAATGGGATGGGGGCAGAACGGAGGAAATCGGAAGGCCAGGCTAAAGTAAGCAACAGAACGGTTCTTTAGATCTAAGTAGAGTACAGTGTATAACTATGGTTGAAATGCTTCTAATTGTACTGGTATGTTGGAATTTAACTTAGAGTATGTAATTAAGAATTAAATTCTTTGCATTCTCCAATGGTATAAACACGGGGAAGGCTGGGAAAGCAGCTGACTTGGGGCACCCAGGTATGTGGGACATGCTTTAATTTTCCTTGTCCCACACATTCAACAAATCTGATTACCAGTTCTGGATGCAAAAATGCAGAAACCAATAGAGGGTAAAAAGAGTTCACCGCATCTCTTTGCAAACTGTAAGATCTATAGTGAAGAGAAGCATGGAAAGAAGGAACAATGAAGTAGGGATGATCCACTGCTTTTATATAGTAGGGTTCTGGTTTCAAACTGCAATTTTAGGAAAGAAAGCAGAAATGTTTGATGTTCTTTTTGATGTAGGGCCTTTTTTTCTCACTGTTTCCCCAAGCTTTCTATTATTTCTGCATTCTAGTTTCTTATTTTCCTCTCTAATTTGAAAGTCCTCCATGTGGAGTAACATCTGTAAACTGTCATTTGAGAAATAAAATGGTGGGATAGAATTTTTGGAAAGCAAGTGTAACAATTACAAAACTTGTCAGGGACTTGGCACCCAGGCCATCCTATTGCTAGGGTGGTACCTCAGTGGTTTCTTTTGGGGCCTAGACAGCTCAGCTTACATGGCATCACCTTAATTTTTTTTTCATGGTTCTTTGGGTTTAGAATGGCTTATAATAATAATTTTGACTAATACGATTTTGACATGCAACTTTAATGCTTAACCTTAGTACAACTCCAGAGCATTCCGTGTGCATTCAGCTGTAAAGAGTGATGATTTAAGGGAATGATATGAAGAAAAAGGTCGTTCTAGAATGAACCTTTAACAAATTGCATAAAGAATATGTATTATCCCACAAGTAGAGGGCTGCACAGCTTTTCAGATTATTTTCTTTCTGCTTGATTCAGAAAGTTGTTGAGACATAATAAGGAAAAGAAACAGAAAAAGTGAATAGAAAATTGTAATCAGTGAAAATTATTGTGAGGTTTCTAATTGTTATTGCTAAAACACTCTCCAATAACATAAGATTTTTGTCTTCTCTCTTTTTGGGGGTGAAGAATTCGTTCCAACAAGAAAATGCTTTTATTGGTTGGAGGGCTGCCTCCTGGACCTGACCGGCTTCCCAGCAATTTGGTTCAGTATTACGATGATGAAAAGAAGACATGGAAAATACTGACAAGTAAGCAGTTTATTTATGTTAACTTACCTTGATGAATTTTAAAACATGGCTAATCAAATTAGGCACTTTATTGATTCTCTTCCCTGAAGAGATTTGTTTATATAGCAATGGGATTTCACAAAGGACAAATAAATTGAGATAGAGGAAGGCAATATATTTTCTGTGAATAAGCCCAAATTAAAACTGGCTTAAAATCATTTAATAATGTTTTAGCATAAACTTGTTAAGCTTTCTTTCTTACCTTCTCTAAATAAGCAGGCATTTTTAGTGCAGGGCATGTTATACACTATGGCTACTGTCCAGTAAAACTGAATTACAAGAACAGTTATGTCTGTAGGACAATTGCGTATCTGTTCATATCATAAACACTGCAGCTAATAAAGTTTGAGAAATTTAACCTTGGCTAAATTGTGTCTAATTTATATTGTATTTTGAAATCCATGGCGCTCTGTTTTGCATTCTATTATGTATATTTTACTGTGGTGTGATTATTGTATTACTCTGTACAATTTTATTGAGAATTTTAAACACAGAGAATGAGACTAATACAAATTAAAATAGAGCAAAAGAAAAGGAAAAACTAAAGCTTTTTTGGGAAAATAAGTAGAATAAATAAGTAGATAAGTAGAAAATAGAAAAGAAAATTTAAAAATATAAAGGATCTTCCAATCTCCTTTACAGCAGCTATAAGGATAATTATAAATTGATCTCTCTTCAAAGTTATATCATGACTCATGTTTTGTATACTTTATCTCTCTCTAATCATTAAAACCATAAATCATAAGTTCACTTTTTGTTGTTGCTTTTTATACAAAGGGTCCATAAGGGATTTCCAATCACCACGAAACATAGATTTTGTCTTATCAATAAAGGAGAATATTTGTAGCTCAGGACTGAAATGGGTGGTCGTTTGTGTTCTCTGAGTTTACTTGTTTTCTGGCAGAATTTCATTACCCAAATTAGGTAATACTGTGCTGATGATGTTACCTAGTTTGGGTAATGAAACATCTGCAAAAAAACAACCAAGCTCAGAGGACACCAAGGACCCTTCAGATGTTGTCTTTAATCAAACAAGTCACACTTGGCCATTTCTATGAGTTCAGTCATCTTTAGTCTTTCCTCTGTAATAGTTACTGCCAAGACTTTCCATGTTTGTACATACAATAATATTGTCGCAATCATATTTATTTATTTTATTATTTATTGGATTTATATGCCGCCCTTCTCCCGAAGGACTCAGGGCGGCTCACAACAATAAGAAACAGAAAATATAAAAGTTAAAAGACAAATTAAAATAGTATCCAATAAATAAAGTTAAACATGGGAATACCAATTCAAATTTAAGATTTAAGAATATAAAAAGCTACAAAATCAGTATAGAATCAACCCAGGCCTGCCCGTTATAGCAATGTTTCATGGTTTTTTTCTAACAGTTTGCCCAAAGAGGAAAAGTTCTGATTTCAGTTATATATTAATCTTTAGAATTTCCTAAATAACTGAATGTATTTGAATCCAACATTTTAAAACTTTTTTGCATGTCCACTAAGCATAATAAAAAGTTGAAGAGAGACTGGTCGAGCCAGGTGGAGGAATCAGACAGGGAATTAGTCTGGAATCTTTACGTGGTCACAAGAATGCAAAGTCAAACCCCTCCTTGAATGCTGTTGAATCTTATCTAGAGTGGCCTATGTGCAAACCACCAGTCTGGGACGATTCCTGTGAAATAGGCACAAGCAATAAAGTAGATAATTGAACTCTTCAGGTATGAATCTGGTGACCCTTCTTCTTGTTCACATTTTCAACATAAATTTGAACTACTTTCATACATTCTAGATAATTATTCTGATGTCACATACCAATAGCACATCATTTTATAAAAATTATCTTTAAAATTATAAAACAGTGTTTTAAGTCCTTTTAACCACATATTTTCCCATTGTTCCATCTATATATTATAACCAAATTTTTAATCCACTTTATCATACATTCCTTAACTTGTACATCTTGTGTTTCAAATTGTGAAACACAAATGAATAATTATACATTTTAGCAATCGCATGTTTGCCATTTGTGCACAATACTATTTCAAAATCAATCTTACAGTGTTCAACACCATAAATTGTATTATCTACTTAATTTTTTGTTGATAATTGTAATAAAAAACATTGATAATTTGTCTTTCTGCCGTGGGTTGTTCTCTTGATTTTATTTTGTATTCCCCTTGACATAATTTTAATGTCTCATGATACTAAAACATTTAGTTTGCCTATTATTTCTCATCTATAGAATGCTTCTTATGTTGATGGTCGCAGAGCTGTTTTCAGTCATTTTTTGGATCTGTACCTATTCCATAGTCTCAATATGGTACATCTAACATAATGCTTTTTGAAATCTACATTAACCTTGACTTTATCACACCATAAATATCCATGCCATCCAAATTTCAGGTCATGTGCTTCTAACTCTAAAAGTCTTCTACTTCTCAGAAGCACTCACTCTTTCATCCAACCAAATAACAAGCCGTGAAATACAATTTCAAATCAGGTCAATCGAATCCTCTTCTTTCCTTTGCATCTTGCAACACTTTATATTTAATTTGTAGCATTTTCCCTTGCCACACCAACTTAGATATATCCTTTTGTCACTGTTTATATGGCATATCAGTTGACAAAATGGAGCATTGTCTGAAAAAATCATTCTAGACAAAATATTCATTTTTATCACAACATTTTTCTCCAGCAATGACAATTGTAGTTTCACCCATCTGAACATGTCTTTTTAAGTTCATTCCGTGTTTTAACATAGTTATTTTGAATAATATATAATTCATATTTGTCATAGTAATAACCAAATATTATACTTTTTTCTCAGTCTTAATCCCATTTTCTTCATCAATTCTCTTTGATCAACCATTTTGTGTTCTTTGTTAACATCTTCATCTTCTGATTATTAATCTTAATGCCTGCTAGAGCACGAACTTCTTTTAATTTTCCCATTAATGTTTCTATTTTCTTTAGCGGTACTCTAAAACCAAGATCAAATTATCAGCAAATGCCCTTAAGTTTTTACATCTTTATTCCCACAATTCTGTCATCTTGACTTAACTTCAGTGATTCAATAACTAAAATAAATAGGTCAGGACTGGCATCCCTGTCTTGTCCCTTTTTGTATCATAACAGAGTTTTTATTAAATCTCCATTGACTTTCTATGAGGTATAAATTGATTTCTATGAATTATAAATGGATCTTATGATTACTTACTTATTGCATACATTCTCTCCCATATTCCTATCTTCCAAAACTTTAAACAGGAAAGCCCAGTTCAAATTGTCAAAGGCCTCTTCTGCATATAAGACAATCAATGTGGCCAATTTTTCATTATGTTGCTCCCAGTAGTCCAAAATATCCAAAATATTTTAGCATTATCCTTTAAAAGTCTTTTAGATAAAAATCTACATTTAGCCTCATAAATATATTCTTCTATAACTATTTTCACTCTCTCAATTAGAGCCATTGTAAACAACTTATAATCATTATTCAGTCATGATATTGGCTGATAGTTTCATGTTAAAGCTAATTCTTGTCCCTCCTGAAGTATTAATACTATATTAACCTCTTTGCAGCTCTCTGGCATCTTTATGCTCTATCTAGTAGAATTCATCGTATTTTATAAAGATAGTAAGAAAAGGGCAACCCATATATGGTCCAGGAATCATTCCTGTTTTAGTCTTTTTTATAGTTTTACAAACTTCCCTTATTGTTATAAGTCCATTTGTAATCTATTTCTTTTTCTCTGCAACCTACAATAAATTTTGTGCCTTTAAATATTGATCTATTTTCTCCAAAAATTATTGTCTTTTATCTAAATTAGAATAATATCGATTAAATAACTTTTGCACAGCCACATTATCTGCCATTACAGCATCTCCCTCTTGCAAATTTCAATATCATTATATTTTATTTTCATAATTTGTATGCTAACCATTTCCTTGGATTATTTGCAAACTCAAAGTTCTTTTATCAATTACAATTTCCAAAGTTACTTGGTTGTAGAATCAAATAAATGTTTTTTTGGGGTTGATTGGCTGCATTTATATATCAGTTCCTTTGTGGGTAGGTTAGCTGCATTGATCAATAAAGCTAAATTTTTCATTGTCAGAATTGCCTAAAGCTATTCCGATAAATTATAAATGAGCCCTTTTCATCCATAAATCAGATCTATACTTTAACAGCTAGACTAGTAAAATTTGAGACTTCTAAAATAAATATTTTCTAGTAGTCTGATCCTAAGAACAATTTTATCTAAAGTCATAAAAGTAGGATCTTGAGAAAACTACAGAATTGAAAAATACTATATAGAGGCATGTACCAATACAGATTAATTGATTAATTAGTGCCATCAAGTTGGTGTTCAATCTTAATAATCACATAGCTACCATAGATCTTCTCCATGAAGATTTGACCCCAACCTAACACTTCAGGTATTCTAATAGTACACCCATTGTGGCTGTAATCAAGTCTACCCACTGTCATCCTCTTCTCTTTCCTTCACATTTCTTAGTATTAAAGTCTCCTCCAGAGAGGGAGATCTTCGCCAGGGGTGAAATCTACTTACCTTCCTTACTGGTTTGGAAGCACATGTACCGCCTGTGTCACATGCGTGCACACATCTTCTGTGCATGCGCAAAACCTGCGCATGCGCAAAAGGTAAAAAAACATTACTTCCGGATCGCCGAACCACACGGGAAAATCAGGCAGTCCGGTCCGATCTGGGAGCATTTCACTCCTGGTCTTCACATAATGTGTCTAGAATATTACAATTTGAGCCAGTTCATTTATGTCTTGAGTGAGAACTCTTGATTGATTGATTGATTTGTTTGATGATGCATTGGGGGGGGGGGGCTTGAGGGGGGTATTCCTAGCATTCTCAGGAGTTTTCTTCAACACCAAAGATAAAAAGATCAGTGCTTTTTCTATCCTGCTTCTTCAAAATCCAACTT